CCCCTACCGTTCTGTGATTCTGTGATTCTGTGATTCTGTGATTCTGTGATTTTACATAACCACATTTAGGCATGGTTGTTCAGCTGAGCATGATAAATGAAGGATAAAAAGATCTGGAATGCTATATAAACGCAAGGATCTTTTACCTCCTTTGGTACCGCATCCAAAAGCACAAATTCATATTTGTGTAGGAATAGCACAACGAACAACTGGATTTCCATGATGGCAAACCACCTGCAAGGAAAGGGAGGAAAACATTGGCCGTCCAGCCTGACCATCACACATCTGTTGTCATCAGATAAGAAAAAGGTTGTCTTTGACACATTTTACATTTGATGCTTTAGTTCTGCCCAAAGGTTTATCTTCAGTAGGAAAATATGCTGTGGCTTTGCTTAGCTTCATTACTCGGTGAAGAACATGAATGAAGCGGCTGCCCCTTCTTTCTGGTGAAACTTTAGACTTAGAGTATCCCTCTGACACCCTATTTTAAAACAGCCCTTTATCATTATGGTTTTTTCCACTGTGTAAACATTTACGTTCTTCTAACGCTTGCTGACTTGAAATAACTTCATAGGAGTGAGAAGACAGTCAAATATAGAAAAGGCTATATGACTAATTGTGCTATATAAAGTTATATAATGCAGCTGGGAGCCTGATGACATCAGAGGAGCTGTGACAGCGGGAGTTATTATTTAATGCATCAGCATTAGAATGCAGTATGAGACCCAAGGGCATGATTTTTTTTTCTGTAAGACTCAAGAAAGGTCTTTCTTAGTCAGTTCGGAGAACAGTTCAGATAAGTGCAGGTGAACTCAGCTAGTCTATTATTTTTTAATTTCAATACGTACAAGAGCTTTCTGCATTCAGGCACTGGCATGCACCTATGCCAGGTCATGGGATTACTCACTTGCAGAAATTAGACTTAAGTCTTAAATACCTAGTTAAAATAGTAATACTGCCTTGCTCTTCTACTCCATTTATTTTCCATTATCTGAGAGATGCTGGAAAACTTGGATAAAGCAGCTATTGGGGAATTCACTGGGGAGAAGGCCACAGGACTGCGCGTGGCGTCAGTCTGGATTTGGCCCGGCAGGTGTGAGGAGGAAGCCCATAAGCCCCACGAGACCCAAGCTAACTCCTGCTGAGCCACCCGGATCTGCGCACCCAGCCGCCCTGTGCGCCGGAGTGGGAGGATGCTTGTTTGCTTTGGCGTAGCTTCAGACCCAAATTATCTCTGTGATTTCACACTGGAATTACCTTGAGAGAGGGAGCTTTTGGTGACCTTCAGCTCGGGGGAATGGAGTGCACAGATATTTCGATGGAAGTTAGCTCAGGTCAGGCAGGACTTGCTGGCCCAGCCTCCACGCTGGCAGCACCGCACAAAGGTGGGCTCCTTACAGCGGGCACAGAGTGGCCCTGGACCCCCGGTGCTTGAGGTCCTGCCTCTGAGCCATCCTCACTGGTTTGGCACGGAGGTACCATGATGCAACCAAACACCAAAATGCCTCTAGGTTGCCCTGAAGGTGGAAGCGCTGCATTTACAGAGGGCCGTCCTCGTAACACAAGCACAGGGGAAGCAGGTGGACCAGCTGTGACTCCTCGGTACCCGCGGCAGGGTTCATCTGCAATCTGTCCGAGCGGCAACGGATAGAACCGATAACCGCAGCACTTCCCACCGTTAGATCTCAAACTGTTTTTCCAAACAGACTGCTGCTGTTATCCTGCTCTGCAAACAGAGGTGCTGAGACACAAGGATGGCAAGCAACGCACATGTCCCAGGGTGACCAGAGGGACAGCCCAGGAGTGAAAGGCAGGACTGCAGAGTCCCAGCACGTCCCTCTCTCCCACAGCACATTGTACTGAGCAGAAGCCACAAGCCTTCTGAAAGCTCAGTGCCCCTTAGCTCCCACCTGTCTTTCATGTTCACGACTGAGTCCTAGAGCCTCCCTTAGAACTCTTGAGTCGCTGATGCCTTCCGTTTTTATTTAGTGGCATGGGGGTTTGACAAACATGTGCTTTCTGAAATCTTGCCCCCAGTGCACTGCTACATGTTGGTGTTGTGCTGGAATCCAGGAGCCCAGCTGTGGACTGAGGTCCTGCAGTAAATGAAATCATGGCTGTTGTGCCGAAGCGTTTACAATGTCAGCTTAAGATAGGAGATGACGGACTGAGCCATGCAAGATAAGCACAGTCGCACAGCCAGCAGACACCTGGTCAGACAAAAGTCGCTTCACTGCCCTTAGGTAAAAAAGATGTCACAGAAATGGCTTTGTGGGAGCTCTTCCCATGTCAGCTTGCTAGAATATTTGACAAGTAAGTTATGTTCCAGCTTTCAGTTTGATTAAATTAGCTTTTAATTTCATGATGAGCTTTTGTAATGGAGAAATGAAATGTTTCATACATTTGATTTATAAATGCCAGTACTGAATTAAATGAAAATGCCTCTTAAACTTGAAATATCATTGTTTCATTCAGTAGTCATACCAAGGAAATCTGCAACCTGGGATCTAGGTACATCCCTTGATTTAATTTCTTTTCTTCCAAGACCACCACATTTTTCTTTTAGAATTATTGCTGAAAAGTGTGAAGGTGTGTGTTACCATGCGGACTGCCAAAGCGTTTGAAAGGACTTTTTGTCTCCGCAAGAAAAAGATTCTCTATCCGTTGTCTATGTAGAAATGTTATCATTTTCTTTCTAACCACAAACTTATTTTAAAGATATTATCAGAATCCAGAGAACAGTCTGAACAAAGAAATAGGTCAATATATATAAACAAGCAGCTTTCAGAAACATTGTTTTGCAGCTTGTCCTACACTTGCAGATGCCTCTCGTGAATTCTGCTGTCACCCTTGCTGGGAGTGAGGCTCACATCTAGCTCAGGAATATGGTACAAGCCACGGAGGTACAGCAGTGAGTGAGCACTTTCCTCTGGCAAGCCTAGACAGTGAATGTAGTTTTATTCATTTGTTTTATGTCTTTAATGCCTTCACAAAGTTTATTTGACACTCATGTCCAGCCTGCTGTAGGGTGTGGATTCAAGAATGCAGACCCTCTGCAACACTCTCTAGATTCCTCACTCCACATGGGATTCTTGAGTTAAATTGACTAGTTTTAAGGATTCTTGGTTACTTGCTTCTTAGAGGAGACCAGGTTTTGAAGGCAGAGAATTGAGCATAGAGATGTTTGAACACAGAAACGAAGAGCAGCTGGCTCCCTGGGACATGTTCCAGGAAGAGGGACAGCAGAGAAAACAGCAGAAGGAATGCAGGAAGCACTGAGGCTGGCATTGCTGGGGGAGTGAAGAGACACAGGATCTGCAATTTAAGCCATCATACAATTGTGTGGGCCTTAATGCAAAGACAAGATTCAAACATAGAGAAGCCAGTTAAGACATCTGAAGATTAGCAAAGAGGTCAATGGCATCATAGAGGAACAAAAGAGAGTCTCAGACCAGAGACGTGTTCTTTAGGTTAGTTTAGAACTGGTTTATGGCAGCCTAAATGCCTGTGTCTGTAAACTGGCATGTTTGGAAGTGTAACAACTCTCCCTTGACAAAAAGATGCCTCAGCAGCAGCAGAGCTAGGCTGACTCTCCTCCCTGGGGGATATCCCTTGACACACTAGTCTCAGATTCTGCTTCTGTGTCGTGACTTAACCTGTCTTCCAGGAATGAAACCACTTTCAAATCAGTTTAGACAAGGTCCAGATAATACTGAACATTAGGGGACTGACAAAGAGCAAAGCAATGAAAACACTTTATCTCTAAGTGTAAGAGGAGCCCAGTTCAAGAGAGTTGTTCTCTGCAGGGTTTGGGAATAAATAAACCCCAGCTGTTTCACTGACCTTCCTGGACACTGATGCTTCCCTCCTCCGAATGCCACAAAGCTGTCCAAGAAAGCATTCTTCTCTAAATTTGCCTCTTTCCAACGATCCTGTGGGAAGAAACTTTTTTTTTCCAAATCAGCCTTATATAAATAAAGCTTAACTTCATTTCTCCAGGCTAAAAATGACCTTAGACAGCTAATCCTCAATACAAAGTTGCACTAATGCCATTTTCTTGCATTCAACCTGTTAGTGTCAGAGTCTGGATGTCTGGATGCAAAAGTCAGCACCGATTCAGGGAAAGAAATGAGGGTCCCATCTGAAATATACTTAGTGCTGGAGAGGTTTTCAAAATCACCCCTGAAGCATTCTTCCTATACCTCCCCATTTGTCTAAATGCTGCGTCTTGAGCTCTTGAAATGCCTATCAAAACGCGACCTTCTCCTGTTAAATATACGCACATTCAAAGCAAATGTTCACCCAGCACCTTTCCTCAGCCACAGAATTGTATCACGGCACACAAATGGCTCATGCACATCTGGCACAGAAACCATTTCTAAGACGTTGTGGACAGACAAGTGCAAGGTATATCAGCTGTCACAGGGGAGAGAGGCGAGGATTGCACGGCCCCGTTCTCAGGTGCAAGCCAGCGTGTGAGAAAAAGAACTCTTCTCAGCAAAAACAGCCTGTCTGCACCCAGAGACTCCTTGCTCTGTCCTCAGTTACCTTAAGAGAAAAGGAACAATGTGAGGAGCAAAGCAAAATCGGCTAAAGTTTGGGCGGGTGACACTGACAGAAGTAAATCTCTTGAATGCTGGGTGACAAACTATATCAGCCTCCAGAAACTGAGTGCAACTCTACCAAGGCCTTCAGGTAACACCCTGTCAAGTTTATAGGGGCTAACTCCTCTGATGAAGTTCTCCCAGAGAAGATGTAATCTTGTGTTTGTTTATTTTGGATTTTTTTCAGCTTGGGCTGTTTAGAGCTTTCTCAAGAGGAAATCTGTTAGCATCCAAATCCAATAAAAGCAAGGAAAAAAATCTCAGTGGTGATGAAGCAAGGCGATACCATTTGGAGTGGCAGTGTCCAAGGGATACGCACCTATTGCTCATGGAAAAAGGGTGAGTTTCTAAATAACAAGCTAGTTTGCTTTTTAGGAATAAAGTTACTAAAGAAATAAGCCGCTGCATCAAGGTTTCTGCTCAGGGTTTCAAACAGGCAGGAACTATTACGAGAGATTTCAGATTGGTGAAGAGTTTGCTAGAAGGGAAGTTTTGTTTAAATTACTCCTTGACATATTTCTATAAAACAGACAAACTGTTTTATAGTGATGGTGCTAAAAAGAGCAGTTACATGCCTGCCCACACGGCCACCTGGAGTGGAATAATAATCAAGAAACTCTAGATGAGCTACTGAATTAGCAGAGCTAATACCTACCAGAAATCATCTGACTGGCAAGGCCCATGAGCCTGGGTAAACACGTGGAGATGAGCTACAGAGACAGATGCCAGGGAGAGGAGACTACTTGGAGCTGTGTTCAAAAGTTGCAATCAGTGGGGTCTTCCCATGGTGGGCTTTGAATCAAGATCAAAGTGATGTAAAGTAGTACCATATTATTTTGAATATATAACCGAGCTTTCCAGTCTTGCTTATTCCTACAGGCTCCTCCTTTTTCTGCACATCATCTCTCTGCACAAGGCCATCCTCCAGACAATGGGCATTACCCAACTTTAAGCCAATTTGTCCATGTGCTTTTGTTGTAAAATAAGCGAAGAGAAGAAAAGACAGCAAAATACCCACGCTAAGAGCGACAACTTACAGGTTTGAACATTTCTGGGTCAGGAAAGTATTTTGGATTCCTGTGTAACCAGTATGGCGACAACATCAGCATGTCACCTGCAGGGATGGTGAAATTCTGAAAAGAAGAAAAAACTCTAAGAAAAGAGAAAATCACAGGTTCAGCTCACAAAACAGTCCCTCCTTACTACCTCTCTTCCATCAGCAGAAGACCCTAACAGAGGGCAAGTGAGGGTGGTGAAGCCATGGTGGGCATATTACGCGTTTGAAGCTTCTTGCTGTTGCCCTTTTTTTTCCGTAAGCAAGACCTAAACAGTGGAGAATGTGCAAAGTCTCTTTTTGTTCTAATGTGTTTTTTTCAGGTATAGAAATAACAGAAACATTGTTTCTGTCTTTCCTGCTTCTTGAGGTATCGTGTGAACTGGTATTTTTTGCTAAAACTTTTTGTTAAGTAATTCCTTCAAAATGTAAAGAAATTCATAGAAAGACTTATATGACAGTAGATCTTCATGGGACTTTAGTAATTTCTTAAATAGGCATGAGTTCTGATTCCATAAGAGAATGTTTTTCTCCCAAACATTTATTTGTTAGACTCCTGAACACTGGCACTTCCCTTCTGAAAGGCAGTGAGGAGGACAAACAGAAAAGCAGGAGTTTTATCAGTTTCTAAATTGTGGTCCCTTCTACTGTATTTGTTTTGTCTGATTACTATTTGATATACCATGAGCACAGTATCTCCAGCTCAGTTCAATTCTATCTAAAATAAATTCAAAACTGAAGGTAAGACTGTGAGCAAGAGAAGTAAAACCACCAGTTTTTAAATTAAAGATGATTAAATTAATGATGATGAATAAATCTGTTAAACCTAAACAGAATATATATGTGAGATTGTGTTTTACTATTTTTACTATTTTACTATTTAGTTTAAAATTACTATTTTAATTTTATCCAGATCTTTTGGGAGGCCCCTTTCCAGACAAATCACACAGCACGAATTGCATTCTCACCTGAATTTTTATTGGGTTTACTACTTTCTTAGTGATTGCACCCGGAGACCTCAGCCGTATGGCTTCCAAAGTGCACCACTTAATAAAAGGGAGTTTCTTAAGTTCCTCTTCAGAAACTTCTATTTTATCTTTACCTGTTGTGGCATGAAAAAGAAGACTCTGTGTAAAAATTAGATTTCATACTTGTTTTGATACATGCTGACATGTCTTGCTTTAGACCTTCTGGTAGAATACCTCAAGACTTTAAGATCTTGTTTATAGCCAGAAATTTTCTTTATCTTTCAAAGTGAATACATAGACCAAAATCAGTACTATTTAAGAAAAGCCATTGAAGATAATTTAGTAACTCTAAGGTAGGCGTAGATATGGCATTGGCCAGAAGAGGCCAATGAAAGGTCATCTTGGGAGTTGGAAGTCCCTGGAGTTTTTTAGTACTTTGGTAGCAAGCTGCATGGAAATCTCAGGGACTGTAGGCACCAAGACAAGAAGCCACGGCTGATGTCTTGGGCTATGTTAACACTAGCAAATAAAACAGGGCCGGAAGAAAGCCTTAAGCACTGGTTCGTTATCATCCTTATTGGCTGATTATTGACATGTTCCTTGATGTGGTTTTCACCCATGTCAACTAAGAGTCGTCCATGAAAGTCTAAGCATTGTTCAGGGGACTGCACATGTGAATGACTGCTCCCAGTAGGTGACTGTTTTTTGAGAGAAAGAGATTAGCCCTGTGGGGGTGAATCATGCTGGACAAACTGGCCTCAGGTGAGAGAAAGGAGAACAGTTCCTGGCCTGCTTTTTTTTCCTCAGAATAACTGTAACTCTAGTGGACATCACACCATGAAAAGCAGCTGAAATGAAAGACCTCACCTGACCCTATCATAGATGCATGAAACAAGGACAAGACTGGTTAATACAAAGCCAGGCCTGATAGATGTGGAAGGATGAGACAAATACATATAGTTCTTATTCTACCTTATTTTGCTAACACCTAAAGTGGTTTTGCTTAAAAACGAGTCTTGAGCACATGCTGAGTAAAGAACTCAGAGCTGGACTCTGTGTTATCAGCAATACCCTTAGCAGCAACATTCATTACTCCCAGCCATTGACCAAGTGTGCCGTGTGCTGGGCCAACACAGAATAAATAATTTCCAGGTTCCAGAAGGACATGATAGGATTTATTACCTGCTTTGCCAAAAACAGAAGCCAGGTCTTCCATGATTTTGTTGTAAATGGAAGGATAAGAGAGTATGAAAACAAGGGTCCAGAACGCAATCTAAACAGAGATAAAAGTACTTTAACGCAAGAATACGGAACAGGATTGCAGTATCTTTGTAACAAATCACAGAGGCAGGTGAAAACATTTGCACTTTTTGGATGTGCCTGTTGTAGCTGGGATGCACAGGGAGCTACGCTTCCAGGGTAGATCCACATCTAAGGGCTCAGATCCTGGGAGATTAGGTCTAGTCATCTGCTGTGTACTTGTCTTCAGTGAACGTTACAGAGCTTTGACTTTGGGCTTTGAAACACAGAATCCTTTCTTTAATTTCAGATAACTAGGTGTTAAAATGAATTACTAAATCATTGCATGTGATTAGATTTAGCTGCATGAATGGAAGAAAAATTAAATAGTAAATTCCCACTATCATTAGCAGAAATGAGGTGAAATAATTTGCAGGGCATTATCACTGTGAGTCACACCGTAAAGGGCAGAAAACGTTTTAATTCACAGCAAAACAAGCAGTAGTATATCCCCTTAAGAAATAATTTGCTAACTGATTATGCAATGAAGTTGAAAATCAAGAAATTTAGGAAAGGAGAAAATCCTCTTAAGTAGGATGAAACCAGAAGGACTCGCAGCACTGCCAGGAGTCTCCCTCCTCTTGCCGAGCTCGCGGGAGGTGCAGTCTGCACACAGATCTGCTCGCGGGCCATCTGTGCTGGTGAGGGATGAGAACTCTTATTTCCCAAATAGCCCCACGTGGATGCAGCCCTCCTTCTGCAAAACAAATCTGGTAGCTTAGTTTTCTCATACAGCACTTGGACATCGTGGCCTCACCATGGGCTGAGGAGGGATAACAGAATTGTTTCAGATAAAAGGGTTTAACATGCTTGTAAAAAATCCCCTTGGAAGGTGAAAGGCCTTTTCTCATCATTCCAGTCACCAGAATAGTGGTTGTGACTATTCTGAGAAACAACAAAAGATCTGTATGTCTATTTACAGCTGAATATTACAGAAGTAAGTAACGGCAGTGTTGTGGAAGGAATGTCAGTTATCCTGATAACAGACAGCAGGCTATGCCTCTCACTTCTGCCAACGTGTGAATCCACAGAAACCTCACTGAAATGGATGAAATTCCATCAGGGTAAATTGTAGTAATATCCAGTCTACAAAAAACTTAGATATATCCGTTAGGAGTACATACAAAAATAACTCACTATCATTTTTTTCGAAATCACATCTGTAACGGACGTAACTGTGCTGGAAAGAGCTTAGTAGTCATGGTAAATAAAGGATGTTTTTGCTGCTATGGATTTTTAATCTGAGAAATTCCTATAAAGGTCTTTGGTCAGCCCAAGCTGTGTTAGATATATTGGACTTGTTATCCTACATATATCTGTATCATTAATCCATCAAACCTGTTTCTAACATAGACAAAACTTAAGTGGTGCTAGAATCAAACTATTGCTTTTCTTCCCCTGAAGCAACGCTGGTGTTCGTACAGCAGATTGCCCAAAGTGAAAGAGCCAAATTCACTTAAGGATTTACACACAGATGAAGTTACTCCGTATTAGGCTTTTGATATTCTTTACAATTGGTAACACCAGGCTGTTAAAATAGAGTTTCTACTGTAATACAGCCACAGTGCTTCAAAATAGAGTTAAATGCTCTTCACAGCTTAAGACTGTGATCTTAATAGCTATGAGACATATGTTCCTGAAACGTTGCGACAGGGGACATCATTATTTAGGAAAAATACAAGAAGAGCTTTTCTTGTCATTGCTTCTGTGACACTGCAGCCTGGGTATATTTGTAGTGATGCATGTGGGCGTGATAATCCCTTCTTTGGAATACACACGGTGTGTGTGACCTCTGGTTCAACGGCTTTGCTTCCCAAATGCAGGCTTTTCAGCGGGGTAAAGAGAAGGTGCTTCTCTAGCTGATGTACTTACAGGGACAGTATTGGCTTGGGAAGCCCAGAGCATCAGGAGGCCATACTTGGGAGCTAGATGTTTTCCTTGCAAGTTATCGAGGAGATGTTGCAGTAGTGTCTGTTACAAATAAAAGAGAATAATGTGTATTTCCAAAAATCTGTTAAAATCTAGTTTAGGGTAGGGCTTACTAGAATTCAAGGATGTAACGTAAGACAGTTTATCAAAGAGAAGTCATGTTAGTTATGGCTTTTTTGCAGTCACAAAGTAGAGATGACAGCTGTCAAGAGAGAGTGAGACTCACTCATAGGCAGAGAGCCAGAAGACATCAATGTGCCACGTGAATCCCTACTGAATACTTGCACTGCCCTCCATTTTCTTAAAGTTTCAGGGGGTTTGGTTCCCTCGCTCCCCATTGTTGCTTGTAGGTGGAAGAAAGACAAAGAAATCTCTATTCTTTTTTAATTCCTGCTCTGCTTCTCTTGCTGAAAAGGACCTGAAAATGGGACTGAATAAGTTGAATAAATGGAAATGAAGAAAATGTTCCTGTTCCTGCCAAAAAGGTGCTCGTTATGAAGAGATGGTCTGATATATGAGCCAACTCCCTAGTTCCAGGTGCTTTGTCAGTGACCTAACAGGTGACTTCAATGGCTTGATATTATTTGAAACTATAGCAACTGTGTAATGTTCTAGGATCAGCTTTTGTTTATGGTATTTCCTTAAATACAAGGCAACCATGCATTCAAGGCAAAGCTTCCCGTCTGCTTTTCAGAGGGGAAAAGGCTGATCCTGAATAAAAAATGACTGCTCTTTATTCCAGATTCCCACCCAATCTAAGACACCGAGTCCGTGCCTCCTACTTCCTGCACCTCCTTACCTCCCACTATCCTCTCTCCAGCCCTCTCTTTCTTTCCATAATTCTGGTTTATTTTATGAAATAAATTGTGATATGTAAAGCTTTTAAAGTCTAAATAAAACCTGGTTTGTTTAATGATCTGTTCTATACTCATTTGACAGATCAAAATTCCCAGGCCAGTCTGCCCTCGTGTTTGTCAGCTGTGTAGACAGAATTCCTGCCATAGCCAAGGAGAAAAACCAGGGGGACAACTTATCACAGCTTTGACACAATCAATATTTAGGGTACTTGGCTTCCAATCCAGTAATCTGCTATTTTCTACTAGTCTGGCTGCTGGAGGATCTACTCACTCTACACCACGGTTTAAAAATAGTACATGTAAGGTTTTGAAATTTCACAGCACGGTGCCATCAGAGAAACAACTGAAGGGGTCTTTCTCTCACCTCTTTCAACTGTTCACTGCAACTGTGATACCGGAGGCTGGCTATGGGTTATAGCTCTGAACCCTTGGCTTGAAATTCCCCAGAGGAAGATGTCAATTCTCAGAAATGTAGGAAATAAATTAAATTGAGGAGTAGGACTCAAAATTATGGGTCTGTCCTAATGTAGGCGTCGGCAATACTGGAAAATTAAGGTACAGCTATTGAAGCTGACATTTTTGACTTATTTCTTCCAGTACTGAAATAATTCCTGCCCTCCATTCCTTCAGTCAGAATATACAACAAAGTCATCCTATTTCATAGCCTCGGATGTTTACCTTGGATGTGGTCTCTGAAGGGTTGGTCCTTTCAGCATCTGACACTACTTTCTCAAATAATTTTAGAAGCCATTTTTTGGATTTAGACCAGCTCCTGTAAAGAAAAGCAACAAACAAGAAGCACTTAACTGAGCCAGCACAAATCAACATTTCCTTTTCCATGAAAAGGACTCCTCGGTTGCTTTCCAAAAGCCCCTGGGCAGCAGTCGGTTGATGAATTGTCAAGTGTCAGCCTGACTGACATTAGTGTTGACTTCACCTTGGCCAGACCTCATCTTGCAGCCAGGACCTGCGACTGCAAGACTCCAAAATTTTCATATCTGTTCCACTACAGGTTTTCATTGTGGCTTTGGACAATTGCTTAGGTTAATCTTTTCAAGAATGACCACCCCTGAGAAAGTAAAGGCCACATTTTCAGAGCATCCTTGGTTCTTTCTGAAGGCTGCTTTGAGGTGCTCATGGTGCTGTCATGCCCTGAGAGCACTGACAGACTCCCTTTCGTGGAGTTTTGTTGCCTCTACCCAAGGTCAGCTCTACGACAGTGCAGCCGTGTAACTTGGGACCAGTCTCCTGGGAAAACAGTGAAGGTGAAGAAAAGAGCAGAGAGATGCCTTGGTGGGGACCCCCTCAGCTCGGGACTCACATTTAGGCTCAGGTCTTTGCCCTTTGCCCAGTTCTGCTGCTCCCTGACAGGTCCGAGCTGGACCCTGCTCACCTAAGCAAGATTTTTTCTGCTTTATGCCAGGAAAATGCAGGAGACAAGGTCAGAACTTTTCTGAAGGACCTAGCTGAAAGCCTGCCTGTCCCCAGGGTGCACCATTGATAAAGACATTGCATCACTCTCCCGGGGAAATGTCTCTTGCGGTTGACATCACAGCGAGCAAAATGTCCCTAACGGGTACACCACGTGCATCATCTCCGCTCCGTTACCTCAGGAAGCACTCTGGCATCTGAGAAGCGTATTCGAAGTCCTCGTCGTACTTCTGAAAATGTTCTTCAAACTCCTTGATTTCACTCTGACTTGTCGGGCAGATGCCTTTCCCAAACAAAGTGTTCACCCCTGCTGGATACATGGCACGCCTGCAAGGACAAGATGTCTGTGACTTACAGGACACAGGGAAGCTGTCACAGCAGCTTTAGGTCAGGACGCGGCGGGTTGAGTTGCCAACACTAGAAGTGCGGGACTCGAGCATCACACCAGTACGGAAGGGCTGGCAAAAGGCTCATACCTCACTCACACCCTTACTGCAGATTTTAAGGAGAGGCTGGGAGATACGCGGACCTCAGGCTAGTCGTCTGCATGTGGCAGAACTTCATCAGCTAGCCTTTGGTCACTTGGCTCTGGGAGCTGAGGTCCCCTTCTCCCCATTAACCATCCTTCTTATTTCAGGTTAGCCCATGTGGAGCTTCCGAGCATGGCACAAGCCCTTCTGCAACCAGACACCCCAAGAAATCCTTCCTCTGGCTGCAGCTTTGCTGGACCAAACAACGCTTTTTTTGTTTGCTTTTTATCTCATTCCTTCCCTATTTGCTCCTCCATTATCCTCAAAAGTCCGAGCTTGTTTCCCAGGCCACTTCACCTGTACCCCTGAGGTCTGAGAAGCCTTTATGCAGTCTTTGCTGGGTTCCAGCTGCTGCTAAACACAGATATCAGACAATGTCTCTTGCACTTTCTTGCTTTTCTACGGATGGTAAGGAAGGTGGGGCCACCTGCTGGCTCTGTGGATTTGATTCTGAGGCAGTTAAATAAATTACCCAGCGCGTTGCATTCCAGTTCTTGTATCCTGTGTTGTCTGGCAATTCTGTTGTTCTTCTATCCTGTGCAGCCTGCTGTAGGTGACCCTGCTTTGGCAGGGGGGTGGGCCAGCAGACCCCCAGAAGG